GGGATATTGTTACCAAGAATAGACTGTTACTACCATCGAAAGGGAGAGATGTTAGGTTAGAAGGCAGAGCAGGGTTCCCCGCCCCCCCAGGTCTGACTGTCCACCAGTGTTTGTGGGTGGGCTGTGAGAAACAGAGGACACAGGAACTGGAAAAACCCCAGAGAAGGACATTTTAAGTATTTAGTGGAAAAACTTAGTTCTTCCTTGTCTGAGTAGAAGAGGGTTTAACATCTAGGAAAAATAATCTAAATGCTTTTCAAGATAATGAACTTAATCAAGGTATCATGTAAAGCCTCTTTGCTCCCAGAGAAAGGGTGTATGTTAAGAAACATGTACTTGTAGCTGTTTTTTCACCTTTATTTCAATAAAACAGTCCTAGGGTTTCATTGTAACGGATACAGAACTTTCTTGGGCCTGTGTTGATGGCAGTGGCCTCTTGGGCATCCTACTTGTTGCTAATTTTATGAAAATATGTTTGAGAGTCATCCATTAAATTCTCATCATGACACAGCCATGGTGTGACACGCCCTTGCACTGCAGCTTGGCTAGTGTTGTCTCCCCAAGGTGTGTCACCCCACACAGGGCACACGGCAGCCACCTCCAGCGAGGTGCTTGATCGCGACAGAGGAGCAGCTCAGGCCTCCCAGCCTCCACGGCCTGGCAGAGCCAGCTGCGTGCAGCGTGTAGGACAAGCTGCAAAGAGACTTTCTAGCCCCTGCCTCAGTCACTGATGAACTTTAAAGACAGTTTGTGAATGTGGCGGTGTGGGGCTGTGTTTGCACTGATAACCTAACCTATTTCTGTCATTTTAACTTTCGAGTAGTCTTAAGTCCATCTCTCTCTCTCTCTCTCTCTCTCTCTCTCTCTCTCTCTCTCTCTCTCTCTCTCTCTCTCTCTCAGACAGATATTTTCCTCCTTAACTGTTCCCTCTGACCAGTGGCAGTGTGCAGTTTTACACTGCTGATCACACCTCCTGGACAGGGGCGCTGAGCCTAGCAGAGGTTCTGGACTAATCTGCAGGGCTTCCCTTCACCATAGTAGCTGTGAAAGCCTCACTCCCAGCCTGTGCAGAGAGGGCCCAGGGACACACCCACTCTGCTGCCTCACAGGATTGCAGCCCTGACTTCTTCCCAAGCAAAATGACAATGCCAAATCATAGCTCCTGCCTGTGGGGCTGTTGGAGCGTTGAGGAAGCTAATGTAGGTCAGGTGCTTAGATACAGCAATAGCCAACGTGGACTGGAAAAAAGAGAAGCAAGAAAATCTCAAGGTTGCTCTGTGTGCATAGTCTTCCTACAAATTAAAGCCTCCAGTTGGTTCATGTAACTCTTACAAAATACACCTGTGTTACAGTGTGCCAGATAGAGATTATGATTATGATAAATTTTGATTTATCAGGATTATTTGTTTTCCATAGTTACAGATGTTTGTGTAACCTTGTGAATCAAAAGAGAACCTGGTTTACTGGTGCTCCCTTGGTTGGCCTTCCCCTAGAATATAGACTTCCTAGACATATGAATATTTTTAATTTAGATAAAAATGACTTTGTTATAGAGCTATTCTTCAATCTTCAGAAACTACTTTCAGAATCAATTATAAGCTTGTTTTTTTAATTATTTAAATTATTTATTTATTTGGTTCAGGGGCGTGCTATGCAGCTTGGACTTACAGTGACCCTCCTGTCTCGGCCTCCCCAGCAGTGGGATTACAGGTGTGCGCCACCACACCCAGTGTCTGGGCCAGCACAGCACACCTTCCTGGGGTTCTGGGGCCTGCACAGCATGCAGTACTGGGGATCGAACTTGGATTCTTGTGCTTGCCAGGCAGGTGCTTAGACCACTGAGCTATCACCCTAACCCTAAACTTTCTTACTGATAGTCCAGTCACTTCTTGATAATCTTCTACTAATGGATGCCTACCTTGGGCTTGTCTAGAGCTTCTAGAGCATCAGACAAAAAATTGAGCTCCTTAGCAATTAACTGAGGATCATTTTTATCCCTTTTATATAATTGTTACATCCGAGGCCCACAGCAGGTCCTTACCTTGTGCTGTGTGTGCTCTTCTTTGCTTGAGATTCTGTGCCTCCTGCTGGGCCTGGCAAAATTGAAGGCCCATCTTCTGTCTTCAGCGGGCCTGGGGACACACACATTCTGCTGATTCTTGCTCCTGTGTCCCATTCTTGTTCATGTTTGTGCTCTGTCCCCGCTCCTCTGCAGCACATGTGCACACACGCACACACACACGCACACACACACTCACCAGCTCACCTCTTTAGTATTTCAGAGTACAGCAGTTAGTACTTCCCACACTGGTTCCTACCACAGGACTTAGTGCACAGCTAATGAGAAGATGAATTCCCTGGTGAAGGCATCTATCCTGATGGCCTTTGATCCCCCAGGGTAGGACTGAGCGAGATGCAGTCTAAGCCCTTATAGGAGTAGACCTAGAGCTTTGTAAAAATTAAAACTAGGGCAGCAGAGGAACATTGGGGCCCCCTGTGCACTTAAGACTTCTTGAACTCACCGTGTAACTCGGACTCCTCGAACTCGCAGCTTTCCTCCTGCTTGAGCCTCCCTCCTCGCTACCCTCAGCGAAACTCCCCAAACCCGCTTTGCACTGCCTCCATTGCCTGTAGTAGACTCATGTAGGGAGCTGGATTGCAACTTGCCCAGCTGTTTGGGAACCTGCTATTCAGGCTGTTGGGTTACCACCCTTTAGAGGATCATGAATTGAGGGAGACCAGCATTATTTTTTTTTTTA